TTAACCGACTGCGCCACCCAGGCGCCCCAAAATACGTTTTTAAAGTTAATTTATTTTGGGAGAGAGAGAGAGAGAGAGAGCACGAGCAGGGGAGGCACAGAGAGAGGGAGACATAGAATCTGAAAGCAGGCCCCAGGCTCCGAGCTGTCAGCACAGAGCCCAATGCGGGGCTCGAACCCACAAACCTTGGGATCATGACCCGAGCCCAAGTCGCACTCTTAACCGATGGAGCCACCCAGGCACCCAAATTAATTTTTTCAACGTTATTTTTTTATTTTTGAGGGAGAGAGAGAGGGAGAGAGAGTGTGGGGGAGGAGCAGAGAGAGAGAGAGAGAGAGAGAGAGAGAGAATCCCAAGCTGTGAGCACAGAGTCCGATGCAGGGCTCGATCTCACAAACCGTGAGAGTTGGACACTTAACTGACTGGGCCACCCAGGCGCCCCTTAATTTAAATTAATTTAAATATAATTTAAATTAAGGCAGCTACCCTGTTGACAGCATGGCTTTCAGATGTCTTCCAGCTCCAAAGACTTAGGAATCTCTGCTGAATGTGCAGAATTTCCCAAAGTTCCGAAGACCCTCCTTTGGGTAACCGCAGGGCAGGGCCCTCGGCGCCCCAGGGGAAGCCTGGCGTTGCCTGACTTGTGTGGGAAAAGAAGGGACCATCTATCTGGGCTTGGTACAAGCTCCAGGGGTGTGGGAGAGACTGGGAGCAGGGACTCAAATGCAAAAAACAGACCCTTGCCACCGTGGTCTCGAATCCCACGCTGGCATCCCTATGTCCAGCCACCTGAATGGGCCAGGGCAGGTGGGAGGGGAGGGTGCTGGTCCTGGCTGTGCCAGAAGGAGAGCCCCGAGCCTGGGTAGTCAGTGGGTGCCCTGCCAGGGCCAGCCTACAGCCCTGGGTCCAAGCGGCTCCTGTTCTCACGGGCTGTGGAGGCTTCACCTTCGAGATGGCTCTCTCCCCTCGTTAGCCGCCAGGCCTGAGGTGCATTAGCCGGTCCCTCCTGAGCCTCTGAGCTGTGCTTCTGGGGACACCTGGCCTGTCTCCACTGGAGCCCCGGCCCCTCTGTCACCCAGGGGTCTGGCCAACGAAGCACTTTGTCTGTCTGGTTTTAGGCGTGACCCTTTGCATGTCTGGAGCTGTTGCGGCCCCAGTGACTCACTGGGGAAGGAGGGAGGGTGGGGCTGAGCTGTGGGCGAGGGTGAGCTGGCTCGTGTTCCCCCCCTTCGCTGGCTGCTGGCTCAGGACCAGGATGCTGGGCAGAGAAAAGGGGCCCTGCTCGAGGAGGAAGAACGGGGTGCTAAGGTGGTTGGTGGCTTCAGAGGTTGGAGAAGCCCTCAGGCTGGAAGCCTTTTCCATCCCTGCCCTGCCTGGCTCCCTGTCTGCAGGGCTGGCTTCCTGGGGCTGGCCGCTGGGCGAAGGCACCTTTAAGTTGCAGCTTCGCTGTTCCGCGTGACTTCCTGTGGTGGCTCCTCTGTTTGGCATTTCTGCTCCTCCGGAGGGATGGTGATTCCCCAGCTCACACCTGTGCCCACAGGCCACTCACTGTCAGTGGCTCTGCTCGCCTCCTAGGCGGCACCCGTGTCATAAATACTGCCTGTATGAGTTCAGGGGGTGGAGGACTGGGGTCTCTGTGGCTGTCTACCCCCCCGCCCCCCACCCCCCATGCTGTGATCTGCCTGACACCACAACTGCTAATTGCCCAGGAGTTTCCAAGAGACACAATCCCGTCCTCAGAGGCAAACTCTAACACTTTCAAGAAAGCTGGTAAAGGGGTGCCTGGGTGGCTCAGTCGGCCGGGCATCCGACTTCGGCTCAGGTCATGATCCCACGGTTCGTGAGTTTGAGCCCCGCGTCGGGCTCTGTGCTGACGGCTCGGAGCCTGGAGTCTGCTTCAGATTCTGTCTCTTCCTCTCTCTCTGCCCCTCCCCCACTCACGCTCTGTCTCTGTCTCTCTCTCTCTCTCTCTCAAAAATAAATATTAAAAAAAAAAAAGAAAGCTGGCAAATTATAGGTTTGCTTTGCCCTTTTCTTTCCTTTTATATTTCATCCCCCAATCCCCGAGAAGGCTCATAAACCTTCTGGAACATTCTGAGGCTAAATGGGTCACACCCAGAGCACCTTGCTCATAATTTATATCCGGGACAGGAACTGAGTCTTTTAAATCTCCCCATCTGGCACACGGAGCGCATTCAGTGAACGTGGCGAGGAGCTGCGAGGGAAGTTAGGTAACGATCTAATGCGGCGTGCAGCGCGGGGCTCTGCTGTCCGTCCCTTGCTGGTCTTCTCTGCCGTGTCTGGTACAGTGTTGCACTTACAAGACGCTATCAGTATGCGTGTATTTATCGACTGGTTGACTAATTCCTGAATGTAAACAGCTTCAGGGTGGGGCTTTGGGTGAGGCTCTGAGTGGTTTTTAGCATCCCCAACTTGGTTTCACAGACCATGCTTCGGCGTGACGCTGCCACCACCATTCTGTGTGGGTGGCTGTGGGCCATGGCTGTATCCAGAGGCCCGCCTCGTGTCTTCCCGGGGCACCTCTGCAGCTGACAGCTCATCCTGTGGCCAGAGGGCATCTTTGCTCCTGAGTGCCCGTACCTATGGGGCCCTGGCTCAGGGCCCGGTGTGGGCAACCAGATGAGCCCTGACTCACCGTGTCCCCGAGGTGGCTTAGCTGTATTCAGGCCTCTCGGGCGTGGGCTGGCTCCAGGGGGTTTGGAGCTTCTTTTTTCTCAGCTGCTGTGCCTGGAACTCCCAGCTGGTGAGGGTTCCCCTGGTCCTAAGGACTGGGTTAGACCGGGTGAGCCAGTGTCACTGTCACAGGGGAAGGAGGGCACCACTGTTCCTGTTTTCAGGGCCACCACTGGCCCCCAGTGCTGGAGGCCCTGAGAAGGGGTGACCGCTGCAGACCCGATGCGGTGTAGGGGAGAGAGTTGCGGACTCAGAGCCCAAGCAGAGTGGTGCTCTCGCTGTGGACTCCGG